TTTGACCCAAAGTTGGGTTGAAACAACCCAACATTTTTTAGAGTGTAGCTGAAGATAACTTAAAAAAGTATCTGAAAACAAATGAAATGTTATTTCTCGGTAAATCCTACAAGAGTTTTGTAGGTATTTACAGTATACTTGGGTACGGTGAAGGTGAACAGATTTAGCTTGCTGTGCAAAACAGAGCACTCAAGTTCGAGGATTACATAATCACAAATGTAGTAATGAATGGATAGATTTAAGGCAGGAGATGGGGTGATGGAGGGATGCTGGAAGAGTCATCACGGTAGTGAGGTACGCAGCTGTTTATATACTCTTGCATAATGATTGACAGGATCAAATGAACTAGCTCCTCCTCAACCTTGGTTTTAAAACTCCATAAAGTAAATCTTCTTGTGGAATACTCAGAATGATAAAGATACCAGTCAGCCATCTGGATTTTTTCCCATTCAGCAAAAGCAATGATATTAGTTACATATTAATAGATCCTGTAGTAAATATGGTAGCCTACAGTAGCTGTAAAAGCAAAGCTTGGGACACGTGTTCCTGAATCATGTTACACAACATCATCCTTGGAACAAGTTCCAAAATATGTTACATTAATATCAGACAAATGTATTTAACTTTTTCCACATAATTTCTGAAACAGTAAGATGACTAATCCGAGACGTTGTGTACCACTGTCAGTCTTTCAATGGTGACAAATTACAGTCTTAAAACATCCTGACGCATTCAGTAGAATCGTCACAAGGGAAACCTCCAGACAGACTCCAGACTCACTCGTGTAAACAGGATGTCCTTTTATTTTCCGCTTGATTGCCTGCCTAAAGTGTTTCACAGACCAGGCAGAGCTTTAAGAGACTATCCTACAGGTTTAATTGGAAGTCAGGTTTAATTTAAACTCAACGTGTTACTCTGGGGCAAAAACTGCCGCTGATGCTTTGTTCAGCTGTAAAAGAGCTTTTTCAACACAATATCATTAGTGTGTGTAGTGTTTTATGTACTTGTAATTTAATGTTCATTCATACATCTTAAATACATGAGGGAGTTGTGTATTGTAAATGCCCGGGTTTGTGGTTTGAGTATGTTGTGATATTTTATATGTTGATTTTGTTTATTGTGTTATTGATGTTGATGCTGCAGAAACTGTCCCGCGAAGGCACAAATAAAGCGTACTACTACTGTATTACATTTAAAGACATGCAAATGTTTACAAATCGTCTGAGGTTCACAGAATTTATATTTTAATGGATGCAGTTCACAAATAAATGATAATGTTTCTCCATCATCTCCATCAAGTCCTGCTATGAGATTGTGTATTAAACGAACCTAGCAAAGGTTCAGACAATTTTGATTCTGACCAGGCAGAACTTTTGAACACTGCTGTTCAAAAACGTGCTTTCTAATGAAATTAATACTTTTATTCAGCAAGAACAGATTAAATTGATGAAAATGGTCAATTGTGACATTTATAATGCTACACAAGGTTTCTGTTTTAAAAAAAAAACATTTTTTTTGCACGTTCTATTCTTCCTGGAAAAAAAAAGTATGATGTTTCAGTAAAAAATATTATTAAAGCATAAAAATCAGCACTTTATAGAATGATTTCTGAAGGATCATGTGACACTAAAGACTGGAGTAATGGCTGCTGAAAATTCAGCTTTGATCACAGCAATAAACTACATTTTACAGTATATTTAAATAGAATACAGTTATTTTAAATTGTAACAATATTTCACAGTATTACTGCTTTCATTGTATTTTGCCCAAATAAATGCAGCCTTGGTGAGCTAACTTTTTTCAAAAACATCAAAAAACGTTTTTTACACAATATGGTGCCCATCTATTTCTTTAGAGTGTGCAAGACTTGATGGAGTGTTTGTATTTTTGGCATGTTCTATTTAGATTTTTAGCAAGAAACATGATCTTTATTTGGAAACTACACCACCTGTCAAAAGGCATGTTTACTCATTCTTTATTACTACTATGAAGTGAAAATATGAAATAACACAAGTATGGGAATAATGCTGTGACCGAGAAGTGAGGTTCTTGAGGTTCATTCTGTGATGCTTATTAAATGGATTTGAAGAAGTTCATACTGTATGCATTAGACACTTATTGGCTGCTTTTCCGTTGCTCCATCTGCTCCAACTCATCCAGACATTTTGATTAAGATGTTGTGGGGAATTCCCTGAGAATTAATTATGGCCGCTAACAATGGCGTTTTATTTGCAGGTGCTGTTTGTGTTCTTTTATTTCATTTTGCATTCTGTAAAAAGTAATTTAAGGAACATTAATTGGCTCCAGTGTGTCCAAACTTTTGAACTGTAGTGTAAAATGGGGAAAGATCTCACCTGTTTGGATATTCTTTGATGACTTGGTATATGGTGACCTTGAGTGTGATGTTCTCATGTCTGACGTGACTGTGATCCTTATAAATCCTGAACTCGGCGGCAGTCACTGCCTCACCTTCTGGAATCTGAGTCAGGTCGAAACGAAACTCCCTGTAGTGTCGTCTGTGATGGGAGAAATCCTTGTCCCGCTCGACTGCACGGAAACACAAAGCGCATAATGACAAGCTGCATGGGACTCGTTTGTTTCACACTGTAGGACGGAGGAAGACTATCGCACACATGTAAAGTGTCTTTAAAAAGTCATTTATCAAAATCGTCAACTTTCCACACCTAATCCAAACATTTGGACGACCAACAAAAGCAGTATCCAGTCCATTAAAGCAGCCATCTAAGCACAGGTAGCAGCCGCTACACAAGCCCTTCCCTGTATGCTCTGCCCATGATGAATGGGCTGTCAGGTAAGAAAAACAGGCCTTCGCTAATAGCACACTGCGTAAGCAGAGGAAAGCCGACGAGACACAAATTTCAAGTGAACAATGTATCACAAGCTTTCTACTCCGATATTCTGACCTCCCAAGATTCCCATTCCTAATCTGCTGCAAATACCATGTGGGTGAGATGTTATCACTGTCAGAAATGTAGTGCTATCTCCTAAAAGTGTCCTAAATTGTAGAAACCTTAACGAGCAAACATTTTTGATATGTTGGAGGTGCCTAGTAGATAAGGCTTTCTCTATATATATCTAGAAACTGCTTTGCCAGATAATGATGAAGCATGGCATTCAGTGTGTTTTAACCCTTGAACAGGCCTCTGAACATTCAGTACGGCACCAACTGAGGTGTGAATGATCCTGCTGAAAATATGCCACTCAACCTGATCACACCATCTCTACCAAAAAATAAATAAAAAAATATATATAACACAAAAAAACAGTTATTATAGTTATGGCTGCAGCTTTTTAATGAATACTGCATGTTTGCATTAGATAGAGATACAAAAGAATAAGGGGGCAACGTCATTTATAAACATTCTTTTGTAGAACTAAAAATAAATAAATTTGTTTCCTAGAAATTAGTGTCTGTGTTGTTTTGGCAGAAACTATGGTTACGTTTTTGTAAGGCAATAAAGATAAGCACGTTTGACTCTTTGTCTTCTTAGGACTCATTATTACAGAACATTCCTACATAAAACCCGTTTTAATTACAAGAGATGTTTGAGGGGGAAAAAGGCAATGGTATATCGGAAAAGGCTGAAAAATTTACTTTTACCAACCAGTTAAACATGAAACCGTTGGGTTTGTAAAACTAAATACTGACTGTTGGTATTACTGAACGACAAAATGCAAAGCAACAAAAAGGTTAAAGAAGAATGAGCTTCGTTTTGTGCTAATTCCATGTAGTCTGCAATTCTCATTTCTGAAGCATTGCCTAAAACATGCATAGAGTGAAATGCAGACATACAGCACTGCTCATGAAGCAGCAGAGCTGAAGTGCGTTTGCTTTTTGGTGCCGGAGAAAGAGCGCAGCTCGGCTTCTCTGATAGTTTATCTACAGCGAAAGTCTGTAGTTACTTAACACGGAGAGGTCAGAGGGCAGGCCACAGTTACACCAGCTGGCCAGACTCAACTTCAGCATCCTGGCTGCTAATTAAGAACAGAGGATGGGGATCTAGTGCTTTCATCAGTGCAATACAGAGATATTATTGAATTAATTCAGTACATTCATTTCAAGAGATCAATGGAGAAGTTAAAGTACGTTTTGCCTGCATGGCAATTATCCAGCCAAATGGAGGCTTAAGCACAATTCTTCATTTGCGCTTCTCATAGCTGTCGTTTTTTCTTTACTATGAGTGTACGTTTTGATCGTTCTACCGTAGACAAGCCGCTTTTTTAAACCCATGAACTACAGCATCGTTGGGTTTTATGACATGCTAGGCTGCAACGTATCCAGGATCCTTTTAGCACTTTAGTCTCATTGTACATTGAAAGAGCTGCAGCGCTTTGAAAGCAGACGCTGTACATGCCCTCATTCTCCTGAGTGAAAACACATGGAGCGCAGTTAAGGTGATGATGGGGGACTCTACCTTAACACACACGTTTATTTACTCTGCCATATCTGAGGCCCAAACTGTGTTTTTACTGAACTCCCTTTTGTATTGTTCAGACAAAGCCATAAAAACAACAAATCCATACAAGATTTTGTGATTCATCTGGGTGTAGGATTTTATCCTCTCCATAAACAAAGCAGTAACCTTTAAAGTCATGTCCTTTAATGGAAAAACAAGCAAAAATATGGCAAAACCAGCGTCTAATGCATAAATTAGATTAGCAAAGAAAGAAAAAAAGGCTAGCTACTGGCACCAGATTACCAGATTTAGACCAAAAGCAGACTTTCTTTAAGCTCTTTCCTCTGCTTAACAACAGGAAGTAATTAAGGCAAATTATCCTCAGGTCAGACAGTCACTTGATAAGTTTACATGAACTGTGAGGTGAGAGGTCAGCCACTGAAGTTGTATACAGTTCAGTGTACACTTATCGTCTTATCGTAGCATTCTTCAAATAATGGCAAAAAGCATTTATTACTAACGACAGGATATTAACAAACCCTGCATGTACACGTCCTTCATGATTTGCTTCTACTCACTTCGCTACGGTATGTGCATGTATGCTTTCTAAGAAGTATGTTCTGCTATAATGGCACTCTTTATAGACACATTTTTATTTTCTCTCTAACCTGCAATTGCCTCAGAGTTTCCAGTAACCATACAGTCCTATATATACACCGTTTACAGAGTTTTCAAGGACAGCGTAAATGTGGAGGACTATATTCCAGTAATATGAAAAAATAAATAAATAAAAAATCACCTGCTATTTTAACACTGGATTCAAAAGAAGGCACTATATTTGAAATCAAATAAATGATCTATGGCATAAATATTAATTACTTACAAAGGCACAGACATTTGCAAGGACCTAGCAATAGTATAAAACTGTTTAATAATAATTATTATTAGCAGACAAACTTGCAAAAATAGTCTAATAGAAATGTATAATCACTAAAGTGCACGACATCATCAAATGGCCTCAAAGTGAAACAGGCTATCGATGGAATTTTCATAGCATTGTTAAACAGTTAATTGAAAATAGCATTTTTTTCCCCCAATGAGATGTTTTCACTTCAATAACCAGAAAATGGACATCATCTAAATATATATATTCTTTTTATTTATTTTGTTTTTGTTAAACAAACCATGTAAGAACACTCTAAAAAATGCTGGGTTGTTTTAACCCAACTTTGGGTCAAATATGGACTAACCCAACTGTTGGGTTA